TCTTCTCCTGGCTGTTCCACACCACCCTCCATTACCCTGTTCTTTGTTTCCCCAGTCCTAGCAAGTTTGCACTTTCACACATTGATTCTCACTAATCTTTGATGTATATTTAATGAGGTGCAGTGCAACGAGATCCAGTACTTACATTTCACTAAGTGTTTTGGGACTTTGAATGTTGGCAAGAGCTAAACTGTGATATAGAGGACTATAAATCCCGGGGTGGCTCTCCTTTAGTGTATCAAGAAGTTCTACCAAAATTCAATATCTTACATTGACATCATTAGCCTTTTGCAATGTCTTCAGTTATTATAAAAAATGAGTGTTGTATTAAATGAAACATATTGTGGAAGGTATCATGTTTGTGTTTCAGGCACCCGATTTTCTCACAATCAATAGCTGCATTCACATGCATTGTTTGTTTCATACTTATTTGAAGTATTTAGTTTGAAGTCTGCATATGTACTGTTAACATTAGGTATGATCTAAAAGCATCTGGTGGTGCAATGATGCATTTGAAAGAACCAGAGAGTTATCCGTTGAAGGATTTCTATGGTCTTATATTTATTGTGATTGGTAATTTTTAAGGTTTTAACTACCCATCTGCAAAATAAATGCATTTTAGGGCTGATTCAGTGTGAGAATTTGTATTAGGTTTGGCCATTAAAACCATTTATAATCATAAAAGAAGAACCATTCAAACATAGGCAATGAGTTACTTGCACAGCAATGGCTGTGAATCTGTGGAGCTGTGTTGCTTAGTGTTTGGGGTATGCTCCATGATCTCAATGTTGACTTTTATTTCATTAGTCTTCTCTGTTGTTCACAAGTCTAATTAATCCCGTTTGGAAGATGTAACAGCCTCTTGTGTAGATCATTTACAAGGCCACAGTGCTACTTTAATAGCCCGTCCTTGAGCCCTCACATACAGTAAGGCAATCCTTTGTTGCCAAATCAATAGTTTAGCCATTAACTTTGACCAAATATGGCATTAGGCTATACTTACAAACTGTCAGACTATATTCTACACCTACTGCAGACCTGTATTCTCTCTTGGGTTTATTGAATGCAAAACACTCTGAGCTCTTGTCTTGTTGGGCTGTTAGTGGTTTTAGGGGTCAAGTCTGGAGGGGACTTTCTCAGAAAATGTTTCATCTTCGTCTTTTTCAATGTTGCCCTATTAGCCAGGAGACACAGACCCCCAGCTGTTAAGGAATGCCCCCACACACGCTCACACACACACACACATGAATCCATACATTCACCGGCAGAGTTGCACATGGTGTTTGCCCGTGTAAGCTTGAGGAAGAACATGCTATTTCCGCTGTAAAGGGGGATCTATTGCCACAGAGGTCAGAGCTCAGATTGTGAAGATCAAGAGGTCATGCGGTTGCACCATCTGGTCTGCAGAACCTCAATATCTGGCAGCACCTTCCAACCACAACCCTTTCTATTTGTAGAGAAACGTTTTCATCAGAGGAGTTGAACATCTCTAAATTTTTTACACTAGTGTCAAACACGTTAGCAAACTGCATCCTGCTGCATCATTTTATCGTGATGTTCATGATATGAATTAACTAAATGTCTGATGTTGCTTTCTCCAGCATTTCATGATAAACTTAATAAAGAGGATGTAGTGACACAACTAATGAGTCATTCCAGACAGGTCAGGGATGGACCCCGCTCCCCTGCTGGTGTATAATTTGTAAGGCCTATGGGTTCAGCATCAGAGACATTCAGTTCTGACTAATGTGCTTGGGATCACAGAGCAAGTATCTACCTCCTGGAGAGTATTTAAAAACACACCATCATGCACACAGACACAGTGAGGGGCACAGTCAAAGGTTATTTGTGAAGGATTACGTATATTCATTTCAACCAAATAAAAACAGCAGCAGACATAACACTCAATACAGAAGTAGTCTCAACATAAATAGTCTGCTTGCTATAAAAAGTCTCACAAGTGTAAAGTGACAGATTGGATTTCCTGTTGTACAAATGGAGATTCTGTGGATCGCTCGTTAGTCACATCATCTCAAACCTGAAGCCATGAGCATGTTAAGGGGGTGACTAAACCAGCCCAGCTAACCTCATTCCAGTCATTGCCATCATCATCAGTGTAAGAATAAAGTGAGAGGCGAAGGATGTGGGGGTAGAAAAAAAAAGGGGGGGGGGGGAGAAGAGAGGAGAGACAAGAAGAGAGTTGGTTAACAATCTGAGAGTGAAATGAGGGGAAACGGTATCACAGCCCAGCCCATTACCATGTATTTATGGTTTAACATGATTTAAATGAGGATGAAAAAGGAAAAAGTTGGTGCAGGGGAATGTGAATGTTAAATGGGGCTCAAATGTTCTGGTTTGCAATAGTATAGTGATTACATTATAATGTTTACTGACCTCATAAACTGTGATGGAGGTCTTTTGTTTTGTGTAATGCGTTATTTTTCATTGTCAAACTGTTCGATTTAAACAACTATTGCAAATCATCTACATCTGACTCAGTCATATGTTACCTAATCTTGTGCATTTACCTATAAGATAAAGAACATTTCGTATTCTCACATCATATCAGCAGCCACTCAATGTATTGGTCTATTTTTGACTTGCTAAGCTTTTCTGTTTTCTCCATCTGCCTGCAGCAGGGTGGAGCTTTTGCCTTGCTTCCTAGCTTAAAGAGGAGAGCTTGTTAAATGACTGTTGCTGGACCAAGCAGCTCTTTCCATTACGAGTGTTTTCAACACCAGTGGGCTAAAGCTAAGGAGGGGCAACTGTGTATGTCTGCATGGAACAAATGTTGGAGATGCCACAATTTGTGAAGTGTGTTTTTGTAAAGCATCAAACCTTTTATTTGTGGAAATAAGTGCTCCAGAGAAGCTAACCTAAAGGGACTGATGTCATTCTATGAAATCTGCATTGCAAGAGCCTCTTATACCCCTCCGCCCAGTTATACCATCAAACAGGGTGTTGTGATAGACCTCCCACATATGCATACACAGCAGGGACAGCCTTCAGAATAGTGTGAGCCACTGAACAGCGAGCAACAGCAGTTTCTGTCCCGCTCTGCCTGGACAGTTATTCAGGAGAGGGAGGAGAAGGAACACAAACCTAAGCAGACTCCCCCAACTCTTGCTGTTATTCCTAATGTCCCATCCAGAGGGCTTTTCTGAAGGGCTTTGATTGGGACTGTACTGTCGTCCACTGCTAACACAGGTAGGGAAACCTCCTCCTGTGGAGGAGCTATTTGTTTTGACAGAGCTTTCACTAGTTTAAGGTGATTTGCTCATTTGTTTTGGATTAGGCATTGAGGTTGGGAAATCAGCTGAGATTTATGACTGATCATTCTTATTTTGTGATTTATATTTGGCCACATAGCAGGTGATTTTGAAGTAATGAAACGGAGAAAGGTTGGGGAGCTCTGCTTTCACGACTTGTCTATGTTTATCAACTGATGCTTTAAAAGTGTATATGTGTGTGTGTGCGCTCATGTGGATGGGAATGCATGCACAGGCCCTAACTTGATACTTTAGCAGTTTTAATGTGCTAAATAAATATGTAATGATGACTTAATTTGGAGACTCCAGTCTTAGCTTACTTTCAGTGGGGACAACACTGATTTAGTGGAGTATTTACATAAACAGCAAACAAAAATTTGAACATTTGCATTCAATTTGGACAGCTTTTGTGGCTTATGGTCTGTATTGCTACTGTTATCATGAAAACTACATTGGTTGTCGATATACTAAAGAGAGCACAGGTACTATCACAGAGATACGCTGCACGACCAGCTTTTGATACTGACGGAAAGACCATCATCAGACCGGACAATAAGCAACCACTCACAAACAGCTTAGTAGTTTTAAAAAAAAAAAAAAAAAAAAAAAGCATAAACTGTGAGTTTTTACAACTTCCAGCAACAAGATTTGTTTCAACCAGCAGCCTGACAGTTAAGTTCCTTCAGTGCGCCATTCCCTTGGCATGTTGCCACTGGTCCACCAAAGAGACCTTGCAGTACCCAGCCTGTGTACGCCCACCAAGTTCCACTACAGAGCCCAGTATTCACTAAAACTAAGATAGCGATATCTATAACTTATAGGGACAGACAGCTCCTTTGTGCAGCTTCTTTACCAGCTAAAGAATCTGATTATGCATGAGGACATGCCTCATCGTGGGTAATATGGTTTCTTAAGAACTGTAACAGGAAGTATAAAAGGAATTATCCAACGAGGTAATGTAGATTTTTAACGTAATGTTTTGTTATGTGACGTAATTGGGATGAGTCAGCAGAGCTTTTGTTTTGCTTTGGGTGAAGAAAGCCAGGAAAAGCCTCTGGGCCTTCCTTTCTCAGTGAGGCCAGTTTTCCAGTGAGGACTAAATTCTTCCGAATGGGTCACCCTATTTCCTCTTTCTTGGAGTGTTGTGATAGATAGATTTGATTTTATGTCAGTGTGCATGGGCATGCAAGTACAGAATGTGTGTTAGTTTAGCAGTCAATCCAAGTTCATGAGTAAATGAGTGGATACAAATTTGGCCATGTCATGTATTTTTTGAGGGAGCATAACTTGTTTACTGTTGTGAGGATCATTTAGCAATTAAAATCAACAACTGATTCATCTTCTATTATGCTAATATTTATCAGGTGGCAGAGATTAATCCAATCGACTCTTGAATGTGCAAGGCAGGCTCCTGTGATTTCATCGTTTTTTCCACAGTGCAAGCCACAAACTCTGCTCATTTCCTGAGGCTGGCAGAATAGGTGGACATGAGCCAGTATTTCATTTAACTGCTGTTTTTTGTTCATGTCCACACAATTTCATGATACCCTCTCTCTATATATACTCTCTATACTAGTTCCTTTCTCTTTGCTTTTTAATGTCTTAATGAATCCTGTGTTTATAACTAGGGGAAACTCCATGGCTCGGAAAATACTAGAGTGACTGTAGAAAGCTGAGTTGTTTTGGATCAGCATTTCATCTCATATACTCCGTTGTACTTCTTTGTTTCAGAAGTTATACACACCGAAGGACCACTGGATGGCAGCCTCTATGCCAAAGTTCGCAAAAAGGAGTCTATTGAAGGAGCAGTCACAGCAAACGGCCTCCCACCCACTGCTGCTGAACATGCCCTACCTGCAGTTGATCATGCCCTGTCAGTGAGCAGCGACTCAGGAAACTCTACTGCCTCCATCAAAACTGACCGAACTGATGAAGCGACAGCAGCACCTCAGACTTCCACAGTGAGCCAGGCACATGTTTCCGTAGGTGAGGAGCTTCACTCAGTCCGTCCTCACACCCCGCCAGCTCAACAACCAATCAGTCCACAAGAGAAACAGGAGCTGGAGCAGCTGCTGAGTGGATTGGAGGGGCCCATGCATCGGCAGGGCTACCTGTCCACCCCAACCTCTGCTGTTGGGGGAATGCTTCACCTTGTGCCTGCACAGGTCCATGTGAATGGGCACAATAGCATTGACCGTGAGACAGACATTTTAGATGATGAGCTGCCAACCAGTCAAGAGGGCAACAGTGTGGACAGTCTAGGGACGTTCTCTTCCACAGATGGACGGGCTACTCCAGCTGATCTTTATTACCAGTCTGAGTCACTTATCAATGGCCAGGACCATGTGCCATATCTAGAGCGCAGCGTCCCAGAGAAGCCTCTGGAAACCGTCCAGAAACAGACTGGCACGTCCGACAAACATGTCACTTTGACCCAAAGTGATTCAAGTCCATCCACGGATAATTACATTGCTAACCAGAATGGCAATTTGTACCGCTCTCAGTCATTTGGTGCAGAGCCAAAGTCTATGCCTCCAGCTCCCACCCGCACCACCAGTAGCAGGGATGCCGTTCAACGTGGTCTCAATGTTTGGCAGCAGTTTGGGGTACCCGAGGAGCCAGTAACTGAAGGCCTCACTTTTAGTCCACCTCCCTCTGTGGCCGTGATGCCCAGCCACCACAGCCTCCCACAGTTTCCCCATCGCCAGAGTGCCTCCCAGCAAGAAATTGAGCAATCTATTGAAACCCTTAATCTCCTCATGTTGGACCTGGAACCAGGCCGTTCACTTGTGCCAAAATCCCAAAGTGCTCCACTACGGGAAAACAGTGTTGTAGTGACTACTCAGCCGTCCTTCTCCCAGAACCAAACCAGGCCCTCCTACACTCCAGATGCATCAGTCCATACACACTATTCTGGCCCTATGGCCACACTTGCAGGCAACTCTATACAAGGTCAAATGTCACCTGGAAAGCCCAGTACTCCAGAGCCTACACCTCTTCAGGGATCTTTAAGATACACATCTGAAATGGCTGGATCCAGCCCTTCATCGCAAACACCACCCACAGTAACTGGTCACATCCAGCTCAAGCCCATCAATACCTACCCTCCAAGCGCATTGCCCCAGTCTTCAGAGGGCTCTGAGCCCCTGAGAAGCCCGGCTGCTGCTTCAGCAACACCACAGACAAGAGAAAGTGACGCTGATGAGGTCTTCAATGTTGAGGGTCTGGTGGCCCAAAGAGTTGCTGGTAAGAATAATTCTTTAAAGGTTCAGTTATTTCATTTTGATTCTTAGATTAATGTGTGTCTTCAGCACCTTAAACTAAGATTTTTTTATTAAATTCATACAAGATTAATGTTATCAATACTTGTGTAATGTTAAAGACTGTTTAGGTCACAGAATTGTCTAGCTGTCGTCTTTATCTTTTCTTGCAAAAAGAGGAAATTTCCCTATTTTGTTATACACAGCGTGGTCAGAAGGATTAATCCAGCACACAATCCTTCTCTAGACTTGCCTTTCTTAAAGAGTTGTGGCAGTGTTTTATCTGGCAGTGTTTTCACCATTTAGCATATGTATCATTTATTGTCACAGTTGTGGGTTACCTGTTTTTGTAGCAGCAAGTGCTGATCTGTATTTTGATATTAGCCCTTCAGTAAACAAGAATCCCTCTTAGAAAACACAACTGTCCATATCCTGTTTCATGAAAAAAATGAACACACAAAGCGATAGAGTGACAGCTGAGTTACTCTGATAACAGACATCATAAATCAATAACACATGAATTTATAACTTTTTACTGGCATTTAAATGTAGAGAAGAATTTTTAAATCCTCAGTCATTGAGTCGTTTTCGGAAGCAGTGGGGAAAAAATATCTTTACTATATTTCTCTGATGTGGGTCTCTAGAGAGCTTTCACAAATGCATGTATAGACTGATGTACAAACTTTGTTTCCACTTCATTTTCTTTTTTGTTCCTTTAAATTCTTGTTTCATCACTCTTTTCTCTTTCATCATCCATCTTTTTACCCAGAATTCTCGGCTCGTGTCCAAAAAGTCATCCCAATTATGACCTCTTCTCAGTTTGAGCATCGCCGTTCTCACTCCCTCTCGGGTTGGTTCTCCCATCCTGTCTGAGAAGACACTTCGGGAAAAAAAAAAAAAAAAAGGATTTCTCCTTTTTTTTTCTCAAGTGTTTTCCCAAACCTACTTCAAGTCTGTATCTGTTCTGCCTCTGTGTGTGGTGGGCTTTGGTTTGCATTTAATGAGTTCTCATTTCCTGTTCATGATTAACCGCCCTGTCTACAGCTGCTCATTTTGTCTTTTTCTCTCGCTTCCTCCTTTTTATTCATAACATATTCTTCTCTGTCATAATTTGGTTTGCAGAGCATCATCATCATCATCACCATCAAACTAACCACTGATTCCTGTCTGCATACATCCTTTCTTAATTCATGTTTGTTCTGAGTCGGAGTTCTGTACCTCAAAGTTGAGAATTACCTCAACTATGTGGCTGGAAAAAGAACACCCCGTTGGATAATGTTAAAGTTTCACAAGAACGAGACAGTGAAAGCACAAAGGAGGCTCTGTTTCTTGCCAGGAGAGAGCATGTCACAAGATCCATTTCGCCAAACTCAGGGAACAATACCGAGGCCAGGATACACTGGCCCCATTCAAGGCCACTTTTTTTCTTGTGCACTATTTTGAAGATTTACAAAGCCAGGACAAGGGACACCAAATCTAGGAGAAAGATCTGCGGTCCTAGTTGGAAGCACTACTAAAGCTTAATATGTCTACTGCAAGACAGAAGACACCAATACAGACAAGATTGATCTGTTTAGGGCACTAGGGCATTATCATTGTTAGAGAGGCAACACAAGATAAAAGTGAAGTGTGAACACGTTGGAGAAGTTCCTTTCTGTAGTTATCATGAGTTTGTTTTTTTTACTAAACTAGTAGTATTTACCAAAATTTCAGTGTTTGATTATTAATTTATAAAGAATAACATATTTTTTAAACATCTTATTGATTGGAACTGACCTTTCAAGGAATGCATTCCCCTCACCTTAGACAACCTCCCTCTGATGCAGATGTGCACATATGGAAACAGTAGTTTCCCTTCCTTAAAGAGAAAAAAAGGATCACCATCAAGGTTAGGTTTTTGAAATATACCCCATGTGTATCCACGTGATAGCTGGATTTTAAATAGCTGAGAAATGGGAGGGGAGAAAATACAAAAAAAGTCAGTCCTTGGGAATCTCCAGCTGCCCAGCTGGAAACCATTAGCCGTCGCTCAGGCAACTGCACAGTGTTTGACAGTCCTCTATTGTAGAGCAGTGCATCGGTGGTACATCTGGTTCCCAGATTCCGGGCTCGGTGCATTGGTGGGGGTGTTTCTGTTTGGGGGTGTTGACTACAAGCTTCTCAGAGCTGTCACTTCTAAGATTCTTTAACGAACAATCTGCCAACACCGAGTCTTTTAAAGCTGGAGATCAATCTAACAGATATCACATGTTTATCATTGATTTCTTTTGATTACGGGAAATAATACATTGAGTATATGGATTTATGAAGCACAATCTGATAATGCTAACACAAAACAGACCAAATCCTTTATGGCAACTCAGATTTTTATACTATTTTGGCAAAACTTCATACCTGATTATTTAACTCACTTTCCCCCAAACTACTGTATGTGCCAGGATTCCACTCCCTCTCTTGACTGTCCAGCTGAGTGAGGGCGATAGTAATATTTTCACCGTTTCCATAACAGTCCGGGTGTGTCCCTTTTGTTTTTCATTTGTGAAGAGGTCTGTCTGTATTAACCTCAACAAACCTTCATTCACATGTAAAAAATCACCATCAGCTTGTGTACTTTTTTCAGTTTCCTTCATGAGGTCATTCATCCCTCACTGAAACATTGTTGTACGTAGATTCAGAAGAGGAGCTCCAAGAAAGAAACCAGCAGATAGCTCAAGGTTGAGCCAACATATTTCCAGTAAAAGAATTAGAAATATTTAAACAAAAAAAGAACATTTTGTTTCAGCACAGAGTTTTTGTATTTTCTCTCTTCATTGTTGAATTTACTGCACTTTCCTTCTCTCTCCAATGTGCACTAATCTTGGCCCAAAGAGTAAAGCCATTCATTGCTGCTTCGGTCAGCATATCATGCTCTGCTGCCCTGACCCGCGACTCAGTGGTGGCATCACATATTAGTTTAAAGCTCTTAACTCAAATCCTGTTTGTTTTATGCCGTTAGTTTTCTCCCTTTTTCTCTGGCAGTGTAAACCAGATTAACTGAAATGAGCTTACTGACTACTTTGAGGTTCAGCCAGAACTGGCCTGATAACGCATTAGATGAAAATATAAACAGAAGTTATTTATTAAAGCTGCAGCTGGAGTTAAGAGAGGTGAACATCACTAAATGTAACACGTTTACGAGGTTGAGTTTTACTTTCCCCTTACTAACAATAGTTTGTGTGTGTGTTGTTGCAGATTGAATTCATGGAATGGGATTATAAAGAATTAAGGAATTTGTTGTTTACAGTAATTCTGTGATTTAACAGGATTATGTTTGATCAGCAGCTAATCATCCATTAACCTTTTGAGTGTGCATGTTGTATTTTTAAAGTCATAAGAGCCACAGCCTCCTGCATATATTCGGCCTGTTCTGAGAGTATTCACAATGGCTGTCAACCATTAACCTCTGATGACAGTGGTGGAGGAGAGAGAGGTGAAACTGAGCAGCAGAAAGAAGCTGTATATTAACTCCTACTGTGGGTCAATTAGGTGTCCAGGCCCGCACAGTGTCCTTGGATGAGCCTGCCACTTTGCCCCGCCGACGCATCACCAGTGACGGAGAGCACCAGAACGGTTCCAATGAGTGTGACTCCGCTGACGTCCCGATTCGCTCCCCTGTCCGCTGTGTTTCTCCAGAGTTTGTCAATGCCATCGCGATGAATCCTGGCGGACGACCTAAAGAGGTAAGAAGCAAACATTTAATAAACATTCAAATAAACAAACCCCACAACATGTCTTATTGTATTGGACGTTGTTTCTCCGCTCCTCAGAGACACATGCACAGCTACCGGGAGGCCTTCGAAGACATTGAGGGTGGCCCCATCAGTCCTACACCCACAGTTGGTGGTGAGGTGTTTCCCCAAACCCCTGCCTTCCCCATCTCGCCGCAAACCCCTTACTTCAACCTGTGTAAGTTCCCCCTCCGGCTGACAGAGGGCACTGTGGAGCTCAGACATATCTAGATAGGACAAATGATTAAAGCAAATATTCAAGATTGAAAAGCTATTAAAACAGTTTCTCTTTTTAATCTTGAGATTCCATCAAAATGTCTCTGGTGTTAAAAGTCATTGAAGTAATTGAAGTAATGAGTTTATAAAGCTTTAATGAACTTCTTAACTAAAATGACTTCATGACAAAGTCTTAAAGTGTAAATTTTTCCGTTAGGTTCATGGTATCATGGCAGAGCATGAGGACACTTTATTCTGATTTACAACAATTGAAGTGTGGCCTTATACTTAATCATGTGACATTTAATCTCTCTTTTCTATACAGACTGTCCGTATTCTGTGTAACTGTCCCACAAAGAAGAAATAAGTTAACCACATGAGAAAACTATTTTATTGCGTTGACTTAGTTATGAAAACTTCAGAAGCACTGAGAGGCAAGAGAGTAAAAAATGATCCTCTTGGGAAATGTTCTAAGTCTGATCTAAATTATGTTCTCTGTCTTTACATTGTGAATGTGTATTATTTCTTTAAGTAAAAAAAAAAAAAAAGCAAAAATGTTTTCAAAGTAATTTAGCTGATTTAGAGTGTTGAAAAACGAAAAAGCCAGTGCATAAGTGCACAAACCTGCAGTTCCTCTAGTGTCCACTAGAGGTTGGCTGCAGAATCCCCTGAAGTCACTAACACACCCATTCAAAATCCCTGTTTTGACAGCAGAAATAAACATGTTTACTATCTGATTAGCACATGTTTCTACGGCACACCCTGGGCTTTATATGACACACGGGGGGATTTTTTTTTTTAGATAACTCATCCAGTTTGATTTTATAAAGATTGTCCATCCATCCATTATCTTCTGCTTATCCGGGGCCGGGTTGCGATGAAAGCAAGTTGCCCCAGACGCCCCCTGTCAGTTACCAATGTGTGACATCACTCAGGCTTCGTCCATTATTATTTGCAGTCTATATTTAGAAGCTGGATCAGCCCTGCACTTTAACACCACTTTATATACCAAACCTCTTTTCTTTAGTTTCTCCCAAAAACTATTTTTGAACAGCTTTCACATTTCGAAAAAAAAAGAAAAGAAATCAACGAACTTAATAGATAATGCAAGCCAGAAAACCCTCTTTGTTCCCGGGTCGTTAACACTGGAGAAAAGAGTTGAGATCAGACTTGGAAATGGATCACTATTTTTCTCATTTGCCTCTCAGAAATTCTGCAGAATACAGACACGCCCCACGCTAAAACAAGAGTCATGCATTAGGTAACACATTGTTTGCCAACTTTACCTATTACCTCATTTGGTTCTATCGCCTATCTCCCCCAGGGCACACCTATAAAAGTCAGTCATAAAAACACACACCATATTTTGTAACACCCTCTCTTTTGTGTAACGTCCCGCCTTGCCTTCAAAATAGGAACATGGTGTACACAGTGATAGCGACTTATTACGACCAAGTTTTTGCATTAGAAAATACTTTTGAGAGAAAAATATTCAAGTGACCTCCTTGTTTGTTTTTTCACCTTGTAACTAGATCACTGTTTTCACAGCTGAGCACAAAATGGAGTTAACTGTCACCAGTTAACTAAAATTAGTTTTGCAGGAATTTGCAAAACTTGTGAGAGGTGCATGGTTACGTTTTTGCACGTGACAACAGATTTACTCCCCATTACATGGTCATCTTGAGTAATGTGTCCTTAAATCACATTCCCAAGTGCTCACTTAGCCTGCCCAACACACCACACGTGATTCAATATGGGTCATTTAGGTTGCTTAAGGACAAAGAATTGATTTGGATTCTTTGGTAAGTGGAGGATGCACGCGTCTCTACCGGAGTTCCACTGTCCCACAATGTCAGCCAAACAAACTCCCCATTTCCCAATCCCTGTCCCTCCCCTCTGCCCGAGTGACCCTTTGTCCAGCACTTAGCACAATCCTGCACTGCTTTGGCATGATAGCCACACGAGAGCAGCACTGGCAACAATCAGACATGATGAAGAGTAACACTCACAGTACAGACAAACCAGACAGTTCATTTTAAGAGAGTTACCATAAAACATAAAAGTATTTTACTGATTAATAAGTATAATTTGTGCAAGAGGAAGCCACAACCATACAGACAGCTGTCTGTAGTTAGGCACAATACTTCTATTAGCTGAGTGCTAAAGTTAGCATGCTATTACTAAAACAATACTGCTGATATTTAGCAGACATATCAACAATCATTATGTGTTAGCATGGTAAAATAAAACAAAAACTACCGCTGAGGCGTACAGTGATACTATAGAAAAGTATGGGACACATTTAAATGTTGTCCAGGAAATGCCACTAATTGTTCATTCTGCAGCCAACACGAACGGCCAAGTTTGATTCCACACTACACAGAGATACAGAACATGGATCAATACAGGGATCCTCTGTGGACCATGAATAGCTAATTGCATGGTCATTTCTACCAACAATAGTGGAACATATTTATGTCTGGACCAAAGAGGTACTGGCTTGACTAGAAACAGTGAAGCACTTGCCCTTTTACACAGAGACATCGTTACAAAGTGGCAGTGCTTAAAGCACAAGAACATACATTCATTGTTGGACACTCAGCAGCTGCTGCTCTCTGTGTTGCTGTTTGGACTCCTTGTTGCTGCAACCACAGCCAGCACCCTGCCTGCCCTCTGCAGAAGTCTTCTTACACCAGCAATTTGTGTCTTGCCCTTTGATTATTTTGCAAGCAATATGTTTGTTTTTTGACTTCATACTGGAGGGGAATAAAGGAGTAGTTGGCACTGTAATGTATGACAAGAAACAACGACACAAAATGTGTCACCATTTATAAGACACATTCATAGTTGGAATGATTATAGTACTTAATGTGTCAGTAATCTGACCTGTGACAGCTGTACTCCTCATCTTTCCCTCCAGTTTTAATGTAGCAGACATTGCGTCACGGGTCCTGTCATTTTAAGAACAGTAATACATTTGGCATTGTCTGATTTAAAGGCACAAAACATTTTAAGGGTTTTAACATTTGAGGGTTTGTGATGGAGCCAAAGTCTGTGTGCAGTTTGACCCAGCTCTGCTTTGATGTTGTGTTTGACAGACACCTTGTTTTACTGATGGTAGAGTGAGGTGTTGTCCCTCTGTGATTGGTCACATGCATGTGTTGCCCCCCTCCTCAGAGCATGAGCACACCCCTCTGAACATGTTGCTCTTGTTTGTGAACCCATGTTGTATCTTTTGTCTTGACAGCTGTTTACCAGTTTAAAGATATTATAATCAAGAACTCCAGCTTTTAGATGTAAAGACAAAAGCAAACCATTTGGAAATGATTCTATATTTAACATTTTTATGCCCTGGCATTATTTTGTGATCTTCTAAAAACAATACATAAATGTAAGACTATTATCAGGTAGCAGCTGTCAAGATGTCAGCCGTGTTTGAAGCTGTGTGGTGAAACCTGTCCCTCTCTTTTCAGGTCGGTCCCCTCCTGGTCTGGCTAAGACTCCACTGTCAGCTCTGGGTTTGAAGCCCCACAACCCAGCAGAAATCCATCTCAATCAAACAGGCTCAGGTTGGATATAACGCTCACTTCATCATAATTAGATCTTTTACTGACCACTCTGCTCACTGCGTTGTTTTTGTTTCTACTGCTGTGATTAGATGGGAGGCAACAAAAAGTGATAACACTGATATGGTCTTTAAACCCTAAGACTTTATACATGGCAGCCACACACACGCGGTCCCTCTAAAACATAATGAAACAAGTATAGAAGAAAAATTCCATCCCTCAGTTCCCTTACATTATTCTGTTTTTCTGGATTATCTTACTGATGCTCCACAGATGATGAGAGCAGTGAAGATGATGAAGGTAAGACTGCTGCTATAATGCAACAGATCCTCATTGACATTCATGTCTAAATCCCCAACATCACATTCTCGTCAGTTGTAGTCCACCAACGTATAACATAGGGCACAACCATTTCATTGCCTGTCTGGAAAAATCACCATCACTCCCACTGCTGAAAACACGATTACTGGCATTTTATTTATCTTGTTCAACTCTTTTAGCAGACATAATATTTCATTTTCTTGTTCTATTGTCTGCACTTTATCACCCTCATTGTGGCTTAGCCTTTTATTTTACATTAATTATACTCATTAGACGGCTTTGTTCAATACTTGATTCTGATTTGCCAACTTTGCATGGCAACGGTCTGATATTCCTCGACAGATTACGGCTGTATAATAAGTATAATTAACCGTTACTATGAAATGCAGATGAGTGCTAGCAAAGCCGCTTTCATCACAGAAGGACTATTTTTAGTCAAATTAATCCGGGGAAAGAAGTCCCGTTAATTTGATTTTGTTCTGTTTACTGTGGGAGATAAGAGAAAGGAAAGGATAGAAACGGAGGAAAGAGGTTAAACAAAACAGAAGCTGCAGGCTACGACAGAGGAATCTTCAAAACTAAAGATGGCACATAAAGTAAACAGAGGACATTACATGGTACGAGATAGGAAAGCATTTTAAAAGATGGTCAATAGAAAAGTAAATGTCAGCAGACTGCGACAGTGACGAGGCTCAGGGTCTGCTCTGATTCATGAGGATCTGTTCACCTTGTCTTACTCATGGTGTCTCACTTCACCATCAGTGGAAATGTTCGATTTAATGTGAGTAATAACAGCTAGCTTAGCTCATTTTATGAATGCTACACAGTTAACCGTTGCTATGGAAGCATCTTTAACAGTTGATTCCAACGGACTACATGTTTAGCAGAAGAAACAAATCATTTTTAAATCAATAAAATAATTAATTTCTTAAGCAGGTAGGTAGCCATGTAATAGGCGGGATAATGTAAGGAGGGAGGAGGGGGGGGGCAGCAGGTTGTTACTTCTGAGGAACCGCTTCAGGGTGAGACCACTCCGCTTACTTAGAACACAGGTTGGCTTATTCCTACTTTTGCATTCACTTTTATTTAGTTAACATGTTTTGTTCTTTAACATGCTGTATACATTATCTTTGATCATATTGATTGGTGTTACTAACTGAATTATTCCATAACAGACCACCCTTCTGTTATCACAAAATGTTTTATTTGTTATAAACTTCGGCTTTTTCAACCTTACAGACGAAACATTGGGTAAAGTAAATATGCGGCTCACAGTGACATTTCTTCTCTCCACCATTTAGCACCAAGAAGCTATGTAGAGTCTGTGGCAAGGTCTGCGGTGGCAGGAGGAGAGCAGCCAGCGTCTCCACAGAACGTTAGCCCACCAGGAGAGACTACAGGCCGGCAGAGAAGTCCGAGTCCGCCATCCCACACGCTGAACCCTCCTCTGTCCAGCAGCAGCCCCATCCAGAGCTCACAGGGGTGAGTCTCGTCAAAAATCATCCAGATTTTCTAGTTATATAGATTTGAATAAATGAATTCAGGCTCATGTTTTTAATGAATACTGAAAAGACATGCTCTGAATTAATGACATTTTTCTTCTTCCAGTGAGCAGCCCTCAGCAGAGAGCAATGTTAGCACTCCGTCCCAACCAACCACTGATTCAGGCTTCCGCTCCCAGGCTACAGAGAGTGCCTACCCCACTCCCACCCCTTCATATCAAGTCCTGAATACCCCGACTCCTTCCTACCTGGATTCAAGCTCTCCAACCTCTTCCTACTTGGGCACTACTACCCCTATGCTGTCCTACCTTGGCCCCAGCACCCTACTAGGGAGCTATGGGCCCTCGGATCACAGTATGCCCAACTCAGAACCCTCTCAGACAACATTCAGCCATGGAAGTCCCCTCGCACAGCACAGAACAAATATCTACAACACTGTTCAACAGCAGCACTCCAGCTCCAATCAGATTGATTCCATTTTTGGTCAGCAAGCAACACCTGCCAATGGCTTTGATGTGGGTATAGTAGGGCTAGCTGGCAGTCCCAGCCATGGTCGTTGTCCATCTCAGGGTGCACAGAGCAGCCCCGTCCACAGCAGACAGGCCTCTTTGGGACAGGGGTCTCAGCGGAGCCCAGTTCTCAGCAGACAGCCGTCCTTGGGCCATCCTATGCAGAGTAGTCCTGTGCTCAGCCGACAGCCATCTATCACACACCAACATGGAAGTCCGGTTTTGGGACATCATCCATCTGTGTCCCAGGTGTCCCAGAGAAGCCCCAGTTTGGACCGTCACCCCATGCACAGTGGTTACACCACCCCAGATGAGAGACATGGGAACCTGTCCAGACAGAGCAGCTCTTCAGGCTACCAGGGACCGCCAACTCCTTCCTTCCCTATCTCGCCTGCAGGCTACCAGGATGGAGGAATGATGGGGATGGGTGCAGGCTTCAGGCAGGGTAGTCCAGCACCAAGTTTCCAGCCCCAGCTTCCAGAGAAGCGACGGATGTCGAGTGGCGATAGACCAAATGGAGCAGTGTCCTATGGCACAATGAATGGGAAGATCATGTCCCCAATGAGTGGGGGAGGCACTCCTGGCTACTTCCACACCCTCTCTGACTTCTCTAGGTTCAATATGCCAGGTAAGGGCCTTTTTTTTTTAATCATCATGAAAACTATATTTTCTGTTTGCAATAATCATTCATATGCCCAACAAGAGCTGACTAAATCCATAGTGTCTAACAAGAGTATTAGCGACCACATGTGTTGTGCTGTTAGTTCAACTTAAGTTAAGAGCTAGCTAGAATTTAGCATGTTAGGCATACTTTCCAGGTATAAAACTCAATGTATAGTAACACAGCGTTGCCTCATCAGCAGTCTATGATGAGTGCATTTTAAATTTTAGGGGTGTAACTTCATTGTTGTAGATTGTCAGCAGTCACATTGTACTAGGTTGGATTAGCCCTTCATAGTTTTTGGAATCAAAACATAGTGTTGTTACTCCATAGACTAATGTTAAGCATTGCTGTGATATTCTGTGGCCTTCTTCCTCTTGTTTTTTTCAGATGGCAGTCCAGAGAGCAGGCTTAATGTCAAGTTTGTCCAAGACACGTCCAAGTTCTGGTACAAGCCAGACATCTCCAGGGAGCAAGGTTAGAAGCTTAAAGACTTTCCTTACATGACCATTAAACAACTGGATTTATTTTCTGGCCACTTCCACCTTGTGTTGATCAAACATACACGTCCAAAAGGATATAGACTTTCTCTATCAACGTTTTCTACTTCTGTTGTGGTTTCTTTTGTGTTTTTTGGTCATTTTGAGTCACATTTTTAAGGTTTATAGCCTACCATTTTTTAGCTCTTGTACGAAATTTGTTCAATTGCATTTCTTAAAAAAAAATACATGTTTCAACTCAGACATAATTATACTCCAATTTGTCAAACATTACCCGCCTTTATGGGTCTATAATTTTGTTTTTAATTGGAATATTCCTCTAAAACTTGTATGCAGTGGTTTTAAATGCATTTAAACAAATCGGATGATTTATATTCATGGATACAAGAGCACTCAGCACATGCATTTACCGGTATAGACGCATCTCTGAACACGTGTGTTTGGTTGTGAGGTCAGTGGCTATTGCTGCCCCATCTGTATTTGCTCATGGCCAATATTGAATTGTCTCATGTTAAATACAAGCACATGTTTCACTGCAGTGACATCACACACACAGAGAGATTACACTTAGTGCCATGTGCTCCCAGAAGAAAAGCTGCTCCATGTGTACAGAATTAGGGAACATCTGCATGTGTTGCTCGTCTCATCCATCTTCCTTCCTTAAACTATCACATGTGGACAGGCTGAGTCATTGAACTTAAACGGTGAAGTAATCAATCTAAAGCCCTTCCTCTTGAACAACAATGGAGTGTCCTAAACAACGTGTCATGTTTGAGGTTGTAGTTTTAATGGAACACAGGCTGACAGCAGTTTCTCAAACACAGATTTGGGACTTTCCTCCCTGTACTTTAGTTTGACGAAGTGATGCCTGCTGCCGGTCAGATTTTACTGTAGAACAGAGGGTCTTTGTGATCAATGCTAACCTTAGCATGTTAAGATGTTTCTCAGGTGTAGCAGATATAATTCTAAGTATATTCACCGTTTTAGTCAAGTGTGTTTACAACTTAACATCTTTCTATAAGCCTTCAACGTAAAGTTTGGGCAAGGAGTGTTTTCAGTAATTTAGTCAATATTAATAAATACTTATTAGAATTCTGACTTGATGACTGTGATGGATATGAATGTTACACAAAAGTTATTACAATTGATCCTGTGACAGAGTTCATGACAATCGATATAAAAAAGTCTGAATTTTGCTTGCAATAGACGACCAATCAGTAATGCCTCTTGTAAGATTTTCAATGAAATCATGATGTATGCATTAGCCAATAGCCAATGAAGGGCCAGTTACTACAAAAATGATCAACATCTTTACACAGCAAAGTGATGAATCAGTCTTGTTTTTCAGACTGTTTGTGATCTCAACAAATAGGCAAACAAATTATTCGGTAAATCGGGAAAAGTTATGCAACAAACATCCCTGCAAATCAGTGTTATTCTGAAATTAATTCTCAGTCAAAATAACTCAAAATTGCCCCCCCCCCCCAAACTAACCTTACCGTTATTATTCTGATCATAATAAATAACTGTTTGTCCTCTGTGTTCCAGCTATTGGCTTGCTGAGAGAGAAGGAGCCTGGGGCCTTTGTTATTCGGGACAGCCACTCTTTCAAGGGGGCTTACGGCCTGGCGATGAAGGTGGCCTCTCCCCCACCCTCTGTGCATCAGAGCAAGAAAGGTAGGGGGCATGATGGTGGTTTACCTATTTCAAAGCAGTTAGCAATGCAACAAATATTTAGTTGGACTTGCAGCACTCTTCTCTCTTACTATCTTGGTCTTTGGTCAGGGTAAAGATAGAACTTAACTTGCTAAATCTAAATAACAAAGATATGAGGTGATGTCTCCCTCATGCCTCTCCCTCTTTGTTTTGCTGTAGGTGATGTCACTAACGAGCTGGTGAGGCACTTCCTGATTGAAAGCAGCCCCAAAGGAGTGAAGCTGAAGGGTTGTCCCAATGAGCCTTACTTTGGTGAGTTGGATCCTGCTGTTTCCTTTCCTTCTGAAATACACACTCACATGTACACGGGTGGAACAGAAAAGGGAGGAAGAGTTTCAAAAGGGAAAAAGTCAAACATGACTGCTCCTCTCTGTGTGCCTGGCTGCGTGTGTGAAGGATCTGCAGCCCTCTCCAAGTTTTCGAACATGTAATTATAGTATTGACTGAAGGGATCTAAGTTCAATCTCAGTTCTCGTGACTAATTACAAAACAAGGCTGTATAACGTTTGTTTTTCTGAGCGTGCATGTGTTTGTGTATCCTCTGCTAAATCCAAGATTGGGAAAGCTGAAATCTGTTCTTCTTCTTCTTCTTCTTCTGTCCTAAATGGGGAATTTTCAGGGAATTTGACTGTTGAATAACTTCGCTCTCTATAAACATGCATTCATTAATTAGATATTAAACTATTAATCCAACCTCTTGTCAAATCATGATAACTCCTGGCTCCAAGAAATCAAGATGGCGACGACAACAATGCCAAACTCATTGCTTTCAAACAACAGTCCACAACCTATGGTGATGTCATAGAGTCTGCCTCTATAAAGTCTACTGTCTTTCATTCAAACTAAATAAACATGTGGGTTGTGGAGTAAAGAGAAAAATAAGTGATCTTTTCAGATTTAAATAGCCAAGTACATACATCAACAACAGCTAGCATAACTCACCAGAATCTGTCTTAAAAAATCTCTGACCACGGACTTCACTGAACTGAACGGTACTCTAGCTGTCAACTCTGGGTCATGTAAGATTAAAGTTCCTACAAATGAGATGATTACATGACAGAAAAAAATACTTCATTTTTTGCCTCTGCTAATGTTGAATTTATGCAAAGAACTTCAGTGTTTGAAGTCTGTTATAATTGGCTTCTTTACTTCATCATGTGACATATTGATTTATTCAAACCAACTGGGGAAAAAAAGCTATTGACACAACACACCGCTGAATTCACAGGAAATGATCTCAGGAAAGTGTTTAGCAACAATCTGAAGCAACTCTGAAAAAGTGTGAGTGAATTATCTAAATGGTGCTAAGAACAACTACGAGGCGAGTCCATCAGGAGATCACTTTGTATGTGAAATGTTCTTTAAAAGAAGAGAAACCAGATCAACACGTTCTCACTCTGTCCTGTCTTTATTCTTTAGGCTGTCTGTCTGCATTGGTCTACCAACACGCCATCACACCACTGGCCCTGCCCTGCAAACTACTCATTCCCACTACAGGTCAGTGAAGCCAAGCTGTGTTTCAGACATGGTCATTCTTTTTAAAGTGGTTCTATGTTGTTTCTACGGCTGCACAATAAATCACAATTTTATTGTTATCGCAATAAGAGCTTTCTCAATAAACTCATCACAAAGGTTTAAATTTATCTCAATAATTAAGAAATTATTTTATGCAAACAAGCAGTGCTTTCGCTCGGCATGTGTACATTTTACACGCCATTTTCAGGCAGTCCCATGAAACTCACGCTAGCTCTCAGCTAGCTTCAGAGTAATTGTTGCAAATTTAGAGGTAAAACAAACGTTTGATTTATTTTGTATTCACAAGAAGCATGTTGCATTCAGCTAAAGCTAAACCTTCTACAGATTCTTAAGTATCAGTTTATTTATCTCATTTCACATCATTTTCACAATATCAAGAAAAAACAAACAAGTATTGAGTATGGCTGGCAGTCTTTGAGCGTCTCACGACTCGATTGAGAATTGATTTTTGATTCAAAACGATTTATGATTCAAGGCTATTTATGAATGAGTACATAGTTCAGGATCTACTCCAGTCATGTATGAGACTGGCTGAATTTCTCGCTGCTCCATTTGGCATTCTACTGAGTTAAAGAGCTAGACTTAGCATTTAGCAGGGAGGGACTGATTAGCCAGGAAAAAACTATTTTTGGAAGTTATGAATCTATCTAAAATCTCAGCAGATAATTTTACATAAATAGATTTTTTCCCAGCTCTATAATTGAGTATCAAATGTTTTTCCTCATATATAGAGGGCCTAAGATAAAATATAGTTACCGTAATGTTGAAAATCATTACATTATATTGTTAATTTCCCGTATTAAAGCCTTCTCACTGGATTTGTCGGGATAACTTCCTGTATTTTTTACATCACTTTTTTCCCCAGTATCATTCAGCCGTACTTGTTTCTGTACATACAGTATAACTACATTAAGATTAACTCAAGCCAAAATGTCTAACTTCCCCCTACTCTTGTTCTTTTGCAGATCTCTTAGAGGAACAACCAGAGGTAGCGGCACCAAATCCTCTGGCAGAAAGGCTGAAACAAGGAGCAGGTAAAACATCAACTCACTCACTTATAACAATCGTAGTTTCTGAAATTTAAATTCAAGCAGAGCAGCATTTAGATATCAGGCCATAAACAATATCACTGTATCCTGACTCATCCTACTTTATCTACTCTGATGGATCACTCATACTGACAACAGACATCCCTGTTACCCCAGTGCAGAAGGCCCCTGCTGATTCCCATGGTAAACCCCAGTGCACTTTTACTTGGAAACCCTCACCTGGAATGTGCATCCCATATGTCTGTCAATCGTCTGCTTATGTTGAAACTTGCACCAATTAATAAGATAAATTATTTTTTACCCTGCAAAAACAGAATTCCTTGGAGTCTGCTTAGATTGTGTTTGTTAACAATCGTGCCCAGCTTTGTCTCCATAACAGGCAGAATATTTTATGTGGAATGATTTCAAATGGATTCGTTTCTGGAACTGTTTGACTCGAGCTTTACTCCAGACAGCATGCCCCCTGATGAGAGGAAATTAATATTCTTGCATGAACAGGACCAAATGAAGCATACATAACTTTTTTAACAAGATTAAGTTTGGGATAAATGCCTCCAGCTTGAGCTGCTCTATGGGAAATGTATCCCTCTGTTGCAATCCTGACATCTGTCCTCTTGAGATCTGACCAGTACTTCTGCTTTTATTCTCAGCATGCAATGTGCTGTACATCAACTCAGTGGAGATGGAGTCCCTGACAGGCCCCCAGGCTGTTTCTAAGGCCATATCTGAGACACTGGCTGCCACTTCTCCATCGACTGCCACCATTGTGCACTTCAAGGTGTCATCACAAGGCATCACGCTGACCGACAACCAGAGGAAGTAAGTCTCAGGCCATCTACTTATTTTGCTGCAGACAGTTTTGGATACCTTTTTTTTAGATTTGTTTTGGAAAACGTCAACACAAGACTGAATTAACTCAGAGGTTTGCAGAAATTCAAAAAGAACGAGTGATTGAGAAACAACATGAATATCAAATGAGATGGACTAAAAAGGAAGTGTAAAAAAACAGGGCTGAAATCATAAATGTAAAATGAATGCTCATTGCTGTAATAATTGATTAATACATTGTAAGTTGCAGTGGAATTAAACATGCATTTTAAAGTTGTTGTATAGTTAAACAATTTGCTTGTGTGTTTTTTCAATGTTTTTTCAGTTGATTTATTTCGGTATCTCTCTAATCTCTTCTTTGCTACTTTTACAGGCTTTTCTTCAGACGCCACTACCCCACCAACTCTGTCACGTTCTGCGATATCGACCCTCAGGACAGGAAGTGAGTACAGAAACGTGAAAACGACCTCTTAGTTTGTTGTAGGAAACTCTGAATCAAAAAATTACAGATTACTTTAAAATCTGAGTTGCATCTTCTTTTCTTCATTAAAATTGGCACACAAAAAAAAAAAAATTAAATTAACAAACAAACCCCGGTGTTTGAGTCATGATTTCTTCTTCTTTAAAGTTTGATCAACACTGAAACTTGGAATGGGCTGTCACCTCTTATTTGAAATTCAAACATTAATTCAGAACTGAGAGAGAAAGTTTACATTCAAACTGTAATGAGATGTTTCAAACTGAGACAGATTCAAACTATCCACAGGCCATCAGTCTGTCTGAAGTAGTTTGCAGTGTGATCCAGCAGAGGGGGCTCTCAGTGTAACTTATTACTCTATAACTCATTTTTTTAAATGACCAATACTGAACTTGTGAGCGCTTTGATTTCCTCTCAGGTATCCGAAATTATTAAGCTTACGATTTTCTCCAAATCTTTACAGGTGGAGCAAACTTGAGGGAGGCTCAGCCAAGTAAGTACACCTCTGTTCATGGCACTATGGAATTCAAGGGGGGGGGGGGGGGAGCATCTGAGTGAGTGGGGGATATTACTGAGGGAGTCTGACATGAAATCTCTTACAAAGGTGTTGACTTCTAAACTGATTTATTATTTCCTCTGAACATTTACCTAATAATAATTGGTTATAAAGGCTCCATTTAGAGGTAAACAGATGATAAAGCAGGGTTTATTCACAGTTGAATCCTTAAACAAGGACATTTTTACTCTGGAAGTAAATCTCTAACTTTGTCTCTGCAGACTGTTTGGGTTCGTGGCACGTAAGCAGGGAAGCACAACCGACAATGTCAGCCACCTCTTCGCTGAGATGGACCCTGACCAGCCTGCCAGCGCCATCGTCAACTTTGTCACGAAGATGATCGGCTCACAGAAACGATGAAAGCCGTCAGCAAACCCCTGGCACTTTTTTAAATGCCTTTGGTTATTATCTTTCCTTTTAACCACGGACACTTACTTTCTGTTTCGGACATTTAAGCCTTCGGATCTACGCGTCACCTTATTTTTTTCCTGCTCTTTTACATTCGTCTTTGTGTCTGTGTGTGTATGTAAGCAAATGAAAGTAAAAAAAAGATGAAGTGAGTGTGCGTCTGAGTGTGTGAGCGGCTTGCATGCATGTGCTTTTTCTTCTTGGGTGGACTCCAGAACGGACCAGAGGAAGTGCAGGATGGGGAAGGGCTGTGTGTGACAATGGGACGGGAGGCGGAGCTGATCTCCCTGGCAGGGTAAATTTGTGAACAGGAAGAGGGAATGACATAGTGTGTGCAAATGTTATTTTTTTAGCAATTGTCTCATTTTTTATTTTTTGTTTAAAAGAAGAAGTCAAGTTGTGCGATGTAAAGGTGGATTGTAAATCTATCAGGCTTTTTGACTGGTCAACCAAAGATTTTAAAAAAGTAGTCAGGGCACGGATAGTGTGCCACTGTCGGAGGGTCAGAAGTATTCTTTTTGTAAAACAAATATGGCTGCTTAATCAAAAATACTGAACTGTCTCTTTTCTGTATGTACTGATACTGTAGGTCAATTCTGCACCGCTGCAGACAATGTTTGCAGCTGGTTACGTCTCTGTAAATAATCTAGATCGCTTTATGAGTAGGACTGTTATTGATAGACATTTGGTGCCTGACTTTATTTTGTAACGCAGAGCTTTTTAAGAAAAGAAGAAAAAAAAAACACACCACTCTTCCAGGCTGTCTTAAATATGAAAATAGCCAAATATAAAAAATAAGGTTGTTCTCCAAAAAAAAATTCCACAGTCCTTCCTGTTTGATGCAGTAGAGTGGCTCTAATTGCAACACATTGCTCTGTGAGAAAGTTGTCTAATAATATCATGTGAATGGAAAAGCATCGTTAAGAAAGCGTCTGGATCGTTGCATCAACAGCGTATGTTTTGTTCAGACAAGCATAGAGGAGGTTTCGCTTTGTACTCTCCGTTATTCTGCGTTTACATTATCTCACTACTGAAGGGCCTACTGTTGCTTTGTGAGGACGGGCTTTATTTAAACAACGACCGTCTAGCTAAACTGCTCTTCATTTTTCCGCATTCAACTCCTCGACCAATAGAAAGAAGCTCTTTGCGTCAGCCGGCCAAAAATGTTAACACCCACACCCTACCCAAAAGTAAGCTATTCATATAAATATACATATATAGATATATATAAAAACTTCCAAACAGTGACTTAAGATATTTATTTTTTGTTTGCTTTGTTGCTCTATGTTATCTTGTATACATGTATTATAAAGTATACATCAAATTTACTGAACGCCAGAACAAAAGGTTGCTTTTTATTCTGGCTAAAGTCAAGTGCGTTGACATATATAAAGATGTAAAGTGTGTGCATTTCAAAGTGTATCACTGTTTTTTTGAATGTTTTTTTTTTTCACAGCATTACTTCTTTGTTAACTTTCTTTGTGGAGCTTTTTTATTTGGTTGTTTGTTTTTGAAGAGAGGAGAAATATTTTGTATGAACGATTGTTATTACAAAGTCCAAATTGGAGTTTTTCTAAAGTGATGCCAACATAATTGTTGTAGTAACTTAAACCTGCCTAGAAAAGACATTGTCCAAGTTGAGCACTTATATTTTGAAGTATTATCAGTGTGTTTGAATTGTACAAAAAGGTATGGACGCTGACAGACACATTTCATGTTTTTGTGTGGAGGCAGACTTCTCATTCCCCAAAATGATCTGGTCCGATCAGTCGGTGTCTGCTGCCCCCTTGTGGTGTTTAAAGAGCATAACAAAAGGAACCACTTTCTATTCTTATACAGTGTTTTAGCTGTGAAGTCAAAGGGTAAATGTTTGACGAATTTGATCACAGAGGAAAGGAACTTTACAACTTTAATGTCGATTCATATGCTAATTTTATTTGCTTTTTTTTTGTAGTTGATTTTTAAGTCCCATCAAGGAATGTGTAATAGTATTAAAACTCGCTCCTTTATGCCTGATGCTTTATCAGCTGGCAGCATGTTGTAAACTAAATAAGAATAAATAATGGTTAGTTTAGAGGCAAACATTTTATACAGAGTACTCCTTCAAAAATAAAAAGTACAGCACTTACAGAGCTTGTATTTCTGGCTCGAATAATTCAATATTTATTAGAACGAGCTTGCATGCTCCGGTCAAATCGTTAGCTCAACATATGTACACACAGTATCCTCCAGTCATACTCTATCCAGCCCTTTCCTAAAACAATGCCACTGATGGTTATCATCAGGTTTTTGGTTTCACATGACATCAGTGTCTTGACTTGGGCTATGAGAAAAAAGAATCTATTTTTGCCTACTTAGTGCTCGATGAAAAAAAAAAACCATGAACTTCAAACTGAATGTTAATCATTTGTTTGCCAAGATGAAAACACAGAGACATCTGCCCACTTGGACAGACTGGTCCGGACTGTAGAATGAGTGAATGAGCTTCTATGCCTGTATAGAGCTTTGTCTTTTTTTTTGGTTTGCTACATTGTATGGCTTTTACTATTTCTGATGAAAAACACATTAAAAAGCAGTACAAATCAAAAAAGAACAACTTTGTTTTCATGTTCTGTCCAAAATGTATCTTGGGGTTTGTTTTATTTTGGAATTATTAGAGGCTGGGGTTCATTTTTCCATTCAGATGTTTAGCTTTGTGTCAGATTATCTTAATATTTTTATTGTAACTGACTTTAAAGCAAGAATGTGACTTTTGGAGTTTTCAGTAGTTGTCGCCCTTGAGAAACCAGCATTAAACCAACACAAACTGCTGTTTGGCCACACCTCCACTATTCTGAAGCCTCCACTCTCCTCCAGCAACACACCTCCAAACCCTCTCGGCTTAAAGGAGTTATCAATTAGAACGCACCATAATTAAGCACCATTAAAAGCAAGCAGCTGACAATATTGTCCCTGGCTTGAGCTGCAATTGCCTTTGTCCTGCATTGTTGTGTTTGCAGGCTAATGTTAGCACGCTTTAGTTAGCTCTTAGCTTCATGTTGCATGTAGATTTACACCCAAAGGGCCTCATTCACTAACAGTGCGTACGAATGTTTGAAGTACAAATCTGGGATTCATCAATATATTCTTACTTGAATTTGTTCTTAGGCCGTGTTCACACTTGACTTATTTTTTCAGAAAAAAGCGCTGCCTTCAGCACCTTTTGAGCGCTTATATGCGAGTGTTCTGTAACCTTAACAACGGGATCTAGCCTACGGTGCAACCGGGCCGGAGCCGGCCGGACCACAACGCATCAATTTAGCACAGAAAAGAACAAGCGGGACGGTAAGTCAGACACCGATACAACATTAAAACATACGGTTTATTTTCAGAATAACACCCTCTGTTTTGACGGTTCAGAAAAACCACCGTTTGTGTGTTTGTTTATGCGTTTATTAGGTTTTTATTGAGTTTTATACCACGAACATCGTATTATCTCGTGCTGTTGCGAGTGAATCTGTTAAATTACCGCGGAAATTGCTTTGTCTTCATACTTCAGCTGTCCGGCTGTGCTCTCCGTGCTGTGGACTGAGAATGCAGTCAGTGGGTGTTGACGGATGAGGATGCACGGACCCGTAACAGACCAGAGCGGACACGCAATGCACATATATCTCGTTGAAATTTGCCGTTTTTGGGTAACACAGGTAACTAGGGACGTAGGTTACTACTCGTCCTGATTGGTCAGCTGTCAGAAAGGCTCTTGACGTCACCTAGCGCTTTTCTGAAAAGTTGAAATAATTCAACTGAAAAAAGGCGTCGGGCGCAGGACTTTTTGAAAAGGTGTCCGCTTTTTAAAAAGGCGTCAACCTTTTTCCTTAGGCTTGTATGTAAAAAAAAGGCGCTGGCAGTTGAAAAAAAGAGATCAAGCGTGAACACGGCCTTACTCTGCGAACAAAAATAGAACCTCCTCAGACCATGCATACGCACAAATAATTGACCAGCTTTCTCAGAAAATGTTTACATAAATCTTTCAACTAAGGTGGCTGCCCGGCTACCAGCACCATTGCCCGGCTTGAGTAGGCTACAGGACTTCCGTCTGCCAGGATTTTGAACTTGTCAGGCCCGGGGCAGAGGGCTCTCTGTGGGTGAAGTGTCAGTGTTTGATGACAGGGAGTAATGTTAAACTGTTGCAAAGAGATGAGTAGCGAGTTCAACCCGGACACCGGGGATGGCGAAAGCATAAAGTGTCAGCCTGGGAAAGCGGGTGCAGAGGGATGAGTTGCAGCTGGAGTTCATAGCCCCAGAGCTAGCACTACCTCCAGGCGTCCCGGGGCTGCAGCCACAGACCCACACTCGGCTCTCGTCCCCGATGTCAAAATCCCGGTCAGACTCGCTTTATCTCCGCGTTTCAGTAACATTGAAGTTATACTGTGTCTTTCAACGATACAACTTTCCTATCTAAACATAACTTTCTGATCCTAGCTGTCTCTCTTACTCTCTCACGTAAATAAACCGAAATAAACAGTTCCACAGCGCCCCTACAGGCCTGGAGCACTTCAGTTTAAGGATTAACTTGCAGCGTTTCTGTGTTTGCAGTCGTTTTCTGGTTGTGTATGTTTTGACTTAAATTTCGTTTCTCTACTTGCAACGCGTTTGATGCTTATGCAGTTGTTTTGCCTATTTGCAGCGCGTTTTTTTTCCGTTTGCAGCGCGTTTGTGTCTTTGCATTTGTTGTGGTAGTTTGCATTTGCTTTTGAATGTGCAGTGTTTCTATACATGTGGCGCGTTTTTCTAAATGTATGTCGTTTCATCAGTTGCTGATCGTTTGACCCCTACCGGCCACCGTATATTTGACCCCCATAGAACAGGAACTGACAAGACAACGGGTAGATTAAAACTGAATGGATATCTATATTGGAAGAAGTGTACCTTATGCCACAGAAAGTACTTCCCACCCTAAACCATTTGAGTCTCTATGTCATATGAAAATGACCTAGCAGTAGAAGTCAAAATAAACTCCATGAAAACCTCAGCCATATGAATGGTAGATCAGGAATCTTTTGTGTTGTGATGATAATGTGATGTTCTTAGGAAAATGTTTGACTAATGTAATCATTTACTCGATACTTAAACTCAGAGGAAGGAGTTACGATGAAGTCTGGCTGCAACAGGAGGACACGTCTCTGTTACACACATACTTTGTGAATGACTATAAAAAAGCAACAAATCCTGAAATACATAGTCTCGCCATGATGCTTCATCTACCAGGATCTTTAGCAGTGCTCTCTCATGACATCACTGTACTCGTGTGTAAAAAAAATTGAAATTGTTGTAATAAACTTTTATGGACTGTAATTTTCTGTACCCTTTTCATCTTAATAAATGATGTAAAAATGCAGACATTTAAAATGAACAAGCTGCAGGAATGTGACACTATAAACTTAGTCATTTATTGTATTTCTGTGATGTAATGAGGTTGCCCTTCCTGCAGGCAGACTTGAGAACTCCCAACTCATAAAATACAAGGAAATAAAAAGAGCATGGGAATGTTTAGGAACTGGGATGTTTTAAAGAAGTTAATAACTCGCCAGACAAAAGGAGTTACAGAGAATGTGACCCCAATATGTGGTGAGCAGACAGTGTACAGTACAACAGTTAGCCTTTACCCTCTTATAAACTTCAAGTATACTAAGCTAGATAGTAGAGCTGCCACTTTTTATTCAAACATTCATTTAAAACTGAGGGAGAAAGTTCACATTCAAACTGTAAAGAGCCATTTGACTTATAGCCTATCAGCGCATTAGGCTATCCAAAGTAGTAATGTTGTGGCAAAAGCAACGGGGGTCGCAACTCTCCAAGCTGGCTCGCAATTATTTATGTGTACCAGAAACCTCTGTGTGCTCTGAATGCGTGTTCTCACCAGCTGGTGATATTGAAAATAAAGAGAGCTGCATAAAATAAGCAGATAAATAAATAAATTGTTCTATTGTTCATGGTTCTATCATTATACAATGGCAAGGCATTAATCCTGTCATGCAAAAGTCAAATGTTGTAAACTCATAAAGACATGTTGTTATGAAAGTGCGATAGTTGGTGCACTACAGCTCGTTATACAACTCTTATCTAAAAATGTAATACACATATTGCAATATGGACCTGGTGTTCATCTTCCCAAGAATGAAGAGAGATGTAAGGAAAACACTGTTTACATTATAGAGACTTTTGAGTCCTAGAAAGGCAACAGATTGCAGCTTAGCAGCAGAGGGCTTCTGTCCACTGTTAAGGGTTGGTATGATCACCTGTAAGGTTTCTGTTATTGGTGTGAATCTTGCTAATGAGCCCCTTGTGTATCCAGTCACAGTCTGTACTCTGGTCAGCAATTTCTCCATTCATCTGCCTGGTCAGGGTTTATTTTTACAAACAATTAATTTAAATAAAACCTAAGGGATTGATTTGGCTTCACTTTAAATGTGGATGTGATTTTAAACTGCCTGTGAGTTACAGTTACTTTAAAGCAGTTTAGTACATCATTGTAGTCATTTTTGTATAAAGTAGCTGTAATACCATGTTTAGCCACTTGATGCCAGTGTTTCCTTTTCATAAAAAAACAAAGAGCTCAGAGCCAGTCCAGTCTTTGTCCGACTTTATGTACTTTTAACCCGTTCTGTTTCTATCAATCTATCAAAATGCTACTGTAAAATAGAAAAACAAAACAAGTCTTTCTTTGGTTCATCTCTCTCTCTGCTCTCTGTTTATGTAGTAAAGTGATCACTGTGTATCAGTGAAAAGTGAAGAACCAACTTGTGTGAAAGTTATTATCCATATAAGTATTTGTGCTGCCATTCACACATGATGTTTAAATGTGTCTTTCACAGTCCTCATTCAATAATCCAATGGTGCAACTTCTTTTTCTTAAACATTTAGTTTGTGTACTTGTACCTAAAGAATAAAAAAAAAACGTACCAGTTTTAGTTGATGGGAAAATTTTACGACCCCCACTGGAAGATCTGCGTAATGCTTTCCAAGGAGGAGGATCATAATCTTTTCATCGTCTTTACAACATGGAATAGAGTTGTAACTGGAAAATGGTCATTTACTCCCTGCATGCAGGGGGTCCGTATGACAGGATGGGGGGGGAAGTAAAATTTATGGGCAGAGAGGGTGGATGACAGGGGGATTATCTTTTTAATCTGTGTTTGCTTCTGTTGCCCTTTACCTGCTTAGCTTGGTTGATAGATTTTTAGGAAAAAGGCTAGCCTTAACTGTGCATGGACGACATGTTGGTTTAACTAATATCTATCTGGCAGGACCACATATCTACGTGATAAGTTAATAAGGTAGAGAACCTGACCTTATTATGTGTATGAGCTTTCATAAACTTCTAGTAGCATACAATGATGTATGATGACAATCTTGATTAGAAGACCTCGTGGTGTAGGGGATCCAGGGATCCAGGGGTCGATACGCTGTAAGCCATCTTGAGAAACCTTATTTATAAATGTTTTTCTCGGATCAATAACTCACAAAACAAAATCATCCTGGCTGAATATCCCTGATTTATCGTTTTATGCTTAGCTATCCAAATTACGAATATCACCATATCAAACCATCAGT